GATTTATATGAGCCCTTTATGTATTTTGGATATTAGCCCCTTACCCAGATACATTATTTGCAAATATCTTCTCCCATTTAGTAGATTCCTAGATTCCTTTTCATTTTGTTTATGGTTTCCTTTGTTGTGCAGTCTTTTTAGTATAATGTAGTCCCACTATTTATTTGCATTCGTTGCTTTTGCTCTTCATGTCAGATTTTAAAAAGTCATTGCCAAAACCTTTATCAAGTAGTTCTCTGCCTTTTTTTTTTTTCTTCTAGTTTTATGGTTTCAGGTCTAATGTGCGCATCTTTAATCCATTGTGTAAGATAGTGGTCAGGTTTTATTCCTTTGTATGTGGCTGTATCCTTTCCCATTGTATATTCTTGGCTCCTTTGTTGTAAATTAATTGACCATACATGCATGACTTTATTTCTGGGCTCTTTATTTTGTTTCATTGATCTATAGGTCTGTTTTTATGTCAGTCTGTAACTGGTTTTAATTATTGTAGCTTTGTAATACAGCTTAAAATCAGGGTGCATGATGCCTCTAGCTTTGTGTTAGGTTATTAACTGGTTTGGTTTTTATCTTATAGATATAATGAATTATGTAACTGATTTTATTAACTCCTTTAATTTTCTAAAAACTTCAGAGCCACATTTGGAGTCTAATGCCAATATGCATGGGGTCTTTAAGATATGTCTTGGCTGTTTATCTTCTTGATGTTGCATCTTACTTAGTTTTTCAGCAGCAAGTAATAGAACATTTACAGTGACCTAACAGTAATGTATTAACTATCTCATATGACAAGAGGTATAAACATATGTAGTTCTGGGGGTTTTTTAGTGGCTTAACAACCCATCTATTTTATCCTTCTATCCCATCAGCATCTTTATGGTTTCCTTTTTTGTTCTTGTTAAGCTTGTTGGTGTCAATATTGTTGGAATGATACAAAGCATTCAGTATTGTTGGAATGATCCTAAGCACTTCATTTTAGAATTCAAAAGAAGAGAACAAGAGTTCTCTTCTTACTAGAAATGAAAAATTTTCTCATATTTTCACTCCGGTAGATTTTTCCGTTCTCTTATGTCAAAACAGATGACAGAAATAGAACTCAGCAAGCATTTATAGAATATGAATATATAGTCCTTATTGAATTCATGTTCCTAAACCCAGTTATGTTAAGAGGTGATCTATATTTTATTTAGCAGTGAAATTTATATTCAGAAGTGACTTCGTAGCACTCAATGAAGTCAGTCATGATTGAGGGCCTATGCATATGTGCAAGGCACTAAGGTAGAGTGGGGTGGAGAAGTCTGTCAAGGAGCATAAAAATAGCTTTAAGGCACAGTATTCACCTATGTGGGGATAAATAGTATGACATTAAAAGATGTCACAAGTGTCTAGTATGGACAGGAAGTAATATAAATAGGGATAGAAATTTCCATGGAAGAATCAGAAACTTCAGCTGGACTTACTATTATTTATTTATTTATTTTTTACCTTATCTATATTTCACCTTATCTATATTTTACCTTTAGCTATTTAAGCGTTAGTGTGGTTTTTCTCATTTATTCAATATATTTGTTCAACAGATGTATTTACCTATTGGTATTAGGCATTGTTACAGACCCTATGGAGATGGCAGTGAGGAGAACAGACAAAACATATATTCTTTAAGGAAGCTTACATTTGAGTGGCAGGTGGGGAGAGGACAGAAAGTAAAAAAGTAAACAAAAAAAACAAAAACAAAAGAAAACAAAATGCAACATTGTGATAAGTACTGTGAAAAAATACAAAGTAAGGTGAAACATTCAGAGAATAAAGGAGGTAGGGTAATGCTAGGTGACATTTTATTTTACTTTATTTTATTTTATTTATTTTTTTAATATTTTATTTATTTATTGAGAGAGAGAGAGAGAGAGAGAGAAATCACAAGTAGGCAGAGAGGCAGGCAGAGAGAGAGGGGGAAGCAGGCTCCCTACTGAACAGAGGGCCCAGTTTGGGGCTTGATCCCAGGACCCTGAGATCATGACCTGAGCTGAAACCAGAGGCTTAACCCACTGAGCCACCCAGACACGCCAGGATGACATTTTATGACAATATGTAAGGAAGGTGGTAGTGGACATATATTTATTTGAGAGGAGAGCATGACAGCCTGAGGGAACAGAATACGCAGAGCCTGAGATAGGAACATGCTTGGTTTGGGGACCAACAAGGAGACTAGTATGGCTTGTACAGAATTAGGGACTAGGATTGGTAAGAGGGGAGGAAGTTGCATAGAATACCAGGTAGGACTTGGAAGAACATGGGAAGGACTTTGGATTTTTTTTTTTCTTTTTTTTAATGGTAGCAGTATGTTTTGTATGCTTTTGAATGCCTTTGTAGGTGGAACATTCCAGTTTGTCACAGGCCCTGAAGTTCTTCTATCTTCATTTATTTCCCCCCTTCTACCAACGTCATTTACTTTTGTCTTATAATTTTATAGCTTCTTTGAAGTCTCCTTTACTCATTTATGTTTATTGGTATTGTTTCTCAAAGCATTCTCATTTAAAACCTTTGCCTTAGACTTACTGATTCTGAATCTCCCAGAGTTGGGCTTTACTCATCTCTCTTTAGAGACCTCCTTAAGTGAATCTGATCAGTCAGGTAGCGGCTGGAAAAGAGAAATCTTACTTATGAGTCATAGATCTTGGGTCAGCACCTTAACCTCTCTCATTTTTAGTTTTCTGTCCATAAAATTGATATTAAAATAATAATTCATCTCAAGTTGTAGTGATATAAAATAAGTGAGGTAGTATATAAAAGGCACCTGTGCCTGGCATATAGTAGACATTCAGATAAATGTTTTCCGTTTTCCATTGGGAACCTTTCTTAAAAGTTTCATTTCTCTAAGCAGTTTTAAAGGATATTCCAAGTCAACCAATACATTAATTAGGACACTAACTGGTTTAACAAAATCAAATAACTAGTGGTTTAAAGAAGGAAGAAGTTGAACTAGCTCTAATACGAGATTCTAGACTGGTTTAATATTCAGGGGAGTTTGGTTCTAGGGATTAGGTGCTTTTATTGTTGTTTTATCTTTCCTTAGTCTGTTGTACTTTCTTACACGTCAGAGATGATTTATCTCTACTTTGACTGGGCTTCACCCATTAGAAGAAGGAAAGAGAAGTTTAAGAGTAGGCAGTTTCCTTTCAAGGGCATAGTCTGGAATTTTCACCCATCTCATTTTCCAGAACTTACTACATGGCCATATCTAAATGCAAGGATGCTGGAGCAGAGCGTTTCTAGCAGGGTAACCATTTACCCAGTAAAAACTCAGAGGGTTCTACCAAGGGGAAGTTAGGGAGAATAGATATTGGAAGACAGTGGTTTCTGTCACAGTTAATATTTGCTTGGTATATCTTTTCATTCTCTGAGCAGCATTAATCCCTTGGTCATTCTAGCCTTAGAATTAGGTTTATTGTCCTGTAATCCCAAATTAATTAGTTTTAAAAAGTTATCTGGGTTACTTGTTCCTTTTCAGGTATCTTTTAGACTAGAGATGACTGGTCTTTATCCTAATTCAGTGTCTTGGTCCTAATGTTTAATTCATCTATGCAAGCATGAATCCTACTTCTGATGACTCAGTTTCAACCTTACCTACTTTAAAACAATAAAATACTTCTCTAGATCTGGCCATTTTGTCTGAGGTTTGATATAATCTTTGTTTCCATTTATCATCATCTGTCACCAAGGTTTAGAACATCACGAGACAGCAGCTGTGTATGTGTGTGTGTGTTAATACAATCTCCTACCTACATTTTTGTTACTTTACTTTATTACTATATGAAGTAGTTATTATTAAATCCATTTTACAAATGAGTTAAGAGACCCAGAGATGTATAGAAACTTTTTTGAAGTTGTAAAACCTGTAAATTATGGAGCTGACCCAAACCTGTGTCCAGGCTTTTGTATTTCCAAATTCTGTGATGTTATCCAGTCCTATATTGTGGCATCTGTGGATATCACACTACAGAATTGTATCATGTGCTTTTTTAATTTTTAAGGATACCTTAAATTTATTGTTGTTGTTGTTGTTGTTATTATTATGTCCCATTCTGTTCTTATTCCTTTGCTTCTTTTTTAGTGTCATGATTTCTCTTTGGATTGTAAAACCCCACCTTACTCTAAGACACCCTTTTAACATAGTTTCTATAAAAACTATATGGAGAACATAGCTTTATTTCTCCTCCTTAGGACAGATCTAAAGAATGAATTCCCTGTTATTTTGTTGGCAGTTACAATGCAGTTTACATGTTTTGGTTATTTACAAATTATTATTTTTTTTTAACAGAGTAAATTCCGTCCCTTCCCTCCCGTCTCCTCCCCCTACTTCCTTCCTTCCTTCCCTACTCTTTGTAAAGAGTAACGCATTAGATTAGTATCATGAAGGATGGTTGTGAGAGAGCTCTGTTTTCCATTTGAGGTTTTAGAGTTATATAAAGAGTTAAAGGTGATACCTAACGTGTTCATTTGACAGGGCCTGGCTTTCTTAAACATTTTTTCCTGGGTAGAATATGTCCATGAATTCATTGCTAGCCAGTAAAAAATGCTCTGCTTATGTGTGTTGGCTAGTCCTGTATTTTTTGGTTATATTGTCTTGTAATATTAATCTGTGCATGCATAACTTTAATATTTAATAATGCCTAAGATTATTAAAATCCTACTTGTTTTAAACATTGATTGTTTTTCAGGTATACAAGTTTAACTAAATACAATACATAAGATTTAATTACAGTATTTTAAAATCTACAAGGCCCTTAAAAGAAAAAAGTGGTTGTTAATTTGAAGTTATATATAAGATTAAGTTTCAAAAGTAGCAATTTTTATCATTATGGGCAAAAATTACTTTATAATTTATCTTAGAAATATCAACACTGTAGGAAATTCTTCAAAAAAGAAATATTAGCTCTTATGTTAGGTTGTTTATGACCCTTTGTAGTAAAAATGTTCCCTCCGCCCTTCTGTTTTTTGTATAGGATATAGCAGATCCATTTTTTGCTTATTGTAAGCAGCATGCAGATAGGTTAGACAGAAAATGGAAGAGAAAAAACTATTTGGCTCTACAATCCTATTGTAAAATGTCTTTGCAAGAGAGGGAGAAGCAACTGTCACCAGAAGCACAGGTATGAGATTCATGCCAAAATCATGTTTTTTCTTTCAAGGTTATGGATTTCAGCTCTCATATGTGTGTGCCAGCGACATGTGAAATGTATTTATGAAATGTGGTTAGTTACCTAGGAAGTGGATTGTAATTAAGGTATATGGTGAGTGTATAGTTTGTAGCTGACGAGTACTCCTCACCTGGTCAACAGAGCAGCCTTTTATGAAGCGCATTTCCAAATACAGTGAAAAATGTGGCTTAGAGGAAATTATTCTATCAGTGCAGTATGTTGACCATATCTTTTTTCAGTCTGATCCGTTGTTATTTATGTAAAGGATCTGATCAGTTTGCCTATCTTTTAAAATGTATTTCTAGGTAAATTAAGATGAATTTATAGAGACTTGCAGTTACTAAAAAGAGAAATTTCTGTTTAATCAAATTAGTTCTGACAAATCTGATCATAGATTAGAACCTATAATAGTTGCTAGTAGTAGACCTACTTTATTGTAACCCAAGAATAATACAGTGTATCTTAATAACTGTGGATAGGTATAACTTGCCTTGATATAGGAAATTCTGGTTATCTGTACTTTCTCTAAGCATGCAAGTAGAAATCAGAGGGAATATGTTACATTTTAGATCTTTTAAAATTTGTATGCATTTCTTTTATAGGCAAGGATCAATGCCCGGCTTCAGCAGTATCGTGCCAAAGCAGAACTAGCTCGATCTACCAGACCTCAGGCCTGGGTTCCAAGGGAAAAATTGCCCAGACCACTCACTAGCAGTGCTTCAGCCATTCGTAAGCTGATGCGGAAAGCAGAGCTAATGGGGATCAGTACAGATATCTTTCCAGTGGACAATTCAGATACTAGTTCTAGTGTGGACGGAAGGAGAAAGCATAAGCAACCTGCTCTCACTGCTGATTTTGTGAATTATTACTTTGGTCAGTATAGACACTGATATATGCACATTGTCAATGAGAACAATTTGCTATTAGAAATATTTGTTATACTGTCAATTTTTAGAAATTTATTAGCCATGCTACATATATTAAATAAATAGTATATTTATTTTCCTAATAAGTTGTGGGTTGTTGTAAAATGCTGAGTTCCTGTGTTTGTGAATAGGGTTAAAGTATTGTAAACAATGTAAAATTATCCACGTGATCATCTTTATGGCTAGCTTCTTCCATTGTGTGTTTTGTATATCAGTTTTTATTTTCTACTAAAGTAAAATTGGATATTTAATTTAAATAGAGAGAAATATGCGCATGATTCAAATTCAGGAAAATATGGCTGAACAAAAGAATATAAAGGATAAATTAGAGAATGAACAGGAAAAGCTCCATGTGGAATATAATAAGGTAAGTTGGCTACAAAACAACATAATATCATAGACCTGTTGATGATGCCATTTGTGATTTTAGAGAATTTCTATTTATGTCTTATTTTGAAATTCTTATGAAGTTTTTACGCCCTTCTCTACACTTCCTACTCTTACTGGCTTCATTATCATCCATAACACTAAGTACTTCCTATGTGCTACGTACAATATGGGCATGTTACATATATTAACTGATATAATTTTCACCTCAGTTTTATGTGAGCTGTAATTATGGCTCCCATTTTTAGAGAAGAAAACTGAATCCTAGGGAGGTGAAGTTATTTGCCTAGACTCACGTAGCTAATCAAGTCATAGAGTTGGGATTTGAGGCCAAACAGTCTGACTCCGTCCCTTGTTCCTAACTAGTGTACTATAGAACTTCTCTTTCTAAGTTTGTAGAAAACTTAGAAACTTCCTTTAAATTACTAGTTTTATCTTGAATTGTTTTGTAATGTTACTTTTGATTTAAGAAAAATACCTCCCAATTTAAATTTCCATTCTACATCTTCATTGTAATGATGAGGGAGATCAAAAGAAATATCCTATAAAAGAAAGGTGTAGCTAAAATATTAGGTAATAAGTAACACGAGCATATAAAGCTGATATTGACTTACTGTTAGATAACATTTTAAGTGATAAAAAATTAGTAAGAGATACATTTCCAATATCAGCCACACTGTAGTGAAAGAAAAGAGTACTGGGATTATATTCAGAAGACCTGGGGATTCTTGCTAGTTCTATATCTTGGTCAAGTCACAGAAACCCTATGATCCTTAGTTTTCTTATTGAGAAAATGGTGGAAATGCATCTTCATAGACTCAAGGATTAATTAGCAGAATGTGTTTGAAATTATTTAGTAAACTATAATGGGATGATAAATATAGGTATTCTTATCGGTAAAAATGCTAACATGAAACAAAATGCTTACATCTTATTGATACTGCTTATTCAATAATTGGATAGCCTCCTCTTCAGGGTATTGTGACTTAAATATGTTTAAAAATACAGACTAGCAATACAGATACTCTTGGACATTTGTTGATAAATTATTTAAATTTCCCCATGTTTTACTGTGTATTGTAATGGTTTACTGATTTGGATTATTTACATTGTAGCTATGTGAATCTTTAGAAGAACTGCAGAATCTGAATGGAAAACTTCGAAGCGAAGGGCAAGGAATATGGGCCTTACTAGGCAGAATCACAGGGCAGGTTAGTTTCTTTCCAATTGCTATCTCCTATTCTTACTCTGTTATTTTCAAAGATCAGATTTCTGATACAACTTTCCTAACTAAAAAATTCTGTTTGATTAGGGGCAACTAATCCTCTGTGGTAATGATAATGCCTGAAATACATCTAGAGCATTGAAAGCTGCCTACTGGGAACCTGTAGCCTAATTTGGTTGTTTTAAGAGCTGTCTTGTTTACAAAACTTTTTCATTGGCTCTAACTAATTGACCTATCATTTGAGATGAAGCTAAGATTAGAAGCATGAGTTACTCCTATCATATTCTTGTCTCTAATTTAGCAGTTAGACTCCTTGCCACATTTTTTTTTTTTCCTATCCTGTTCTTCTGTTATATTTAGTTCCTTCTTTTTAGGTGTAAAATTTAAAAGGCAAACTAGAGAAATTTTTTTTTTATTGATTTAGTTTTGAGCTGCCTAAGAGATGGGTTTTGAAACTTTAATGTTAAAGGATAGTTTTTTACCTGCAGTAAATATCACTGGGGTAATGACAAAAATTATTTTATCCTTGAGCATTTTTAGCCTGTTAAAGTTCTTGGTGTTGAAAAGAAGAATCATTGTCAAATAGTAGTTTCTTTGAATGCTTTTTTTTTAGTACTATGTGTATAACACATAAATTAAAAATTCATTCAAGTAATTTCAATTATATTTTAAAAGGATGTTGGAGACTCATTGTGGTCCTTTTACAATGAAAGTAATCTTATTTGTGAAGGAGGCTTATCAATGAAGAGATATTTTTCATTGTACTTGTTTCAGAGGTTTAAGAAGGGTCAAATTTATCATACAGTTCATGTAGACTTAATATTTTAGAAGATAATAAATACTGATATGTATTGTGCTATGCTAGCTTTAAAGATGCTTCTTTTGTGAACAGGATGTATGTGGCTTGTATTAAAATGAATAACATAATTTAAGAAGTGAGAATGAGTAGTCACCTTTGGTGACTTTCTATTGATAGGTGACTTTCTATTGATAGGTTGTTGATGGATTTTTGAGAGATTATGTTGTTTGATATTTAGAGAAGTTAATGTTGAGTACAAGACTATTATTAGTTTATTTACCAAGCTAGCTTTGGTTTGATTTGCAAGACTGTCTCTTAAGAATCTCCTACTTAGTGTAAAAAATTATCTGCCATAAAAGGGTGTTTTCATTTATTAAATGACTCGTAACAGAAGTTCACAAATTTCCTTGTGTAAATGTAAAATACACAGAAGTAGAATTCATTTGTACCATTTGCATGACACTTTTTTCCAGTTGGTTGAACAAATGCCGGCCCACTGGGCCACTGAGAAATGACTTTGATAGATGGTTGCTGTCTCAGAAGCCAGCATACTACAGATTAGTAGAAGACCAAAAAGAATCTCATTTGCTTTGTGGAGAGTTTGGTCCAATAAGATAATTTTTCTAATTAACTTATGGAGCACCAATGTAGCTGAGATGTTGAGGAAAATAAACGGCTTCAATATTCTTCTTGTCAAGTATATTGTGTGAGGCTTTTTTTTTTAAGCTCTTAAATGATTGTCCTTGTCTTTCACTTTTCAAAGCTGAAGTAGCAGTTTAATTCTCATAATATTTTAGTGTTTCACCGAAAATTGAAAGTATATATGTTTCTTTTTCTTTTTTTTTAAAGATTTTATTTATTTATTTGACAGTGAGAGACACAGTGAGAGAGGGAGCACAAGCAGGGGGAGTAGGAGAGGGAGAGGCAGGCTTCCTGCAGAGCAGGGAGCCCGATGTGGGGCTGGATCCCAGAACCCTGGGACCATGACCTGAGCCGAAGGCAGATGCTTAACGACTGAGCCACCCAGGTGCCCCTAATTATAGGTTTCTAATGGAAGTAACCAAAGAAACTCATTTTAATTTTTTTTTGCTGGTGTAATAGCTGGTAAAACATTTCTCCCTCACAATTCTAGCGTATTTAGTTGACTTGAGTGGCAAATAGAGGAGAATGTTGCTTTATATTTTTTCTTTAAATCAAAATAAACTGCATTTGTTCAAATCAATAGAAGTTGAACATACCGGCAATTTTGCGAGCACCCAAGGAGAGAAAACCAAGTAAAAAAGAAGGAGGCGCACAAAAGACATCTATCCTTCCTGCAGTACTTTATAGGCAAGTAATAAAATAAGTTAATATTGTGTTTTTTTAAACTCGTGCTTTTAATAACAAGGTGATTCAAATATTTGTGAATGAATTATGCCCATACTAGAATTTATGTTAAATGCATTTGAAGTTCATTTTGTGAATATTTTCATCAAAGATGCTTTTTAGGTTGAATGACAGAAGAGATTTTTGCTCTCTTTTAATGATAAGTAACTTATATCCTTTAAATAGGTGGATATGTATGTCCAAAAGTTCCATGGAAGTGAATAGTCAGTCCTCTTTGGAGAATTGGAAAGTGACTTTAAATAACATAGATAATAATTTTCTTAAATAATTAAAAGGATATATAAATATACATTTATATTTTATTTTACTTAAATGAGTTCTAGAGTTTTGCATGTGTTTTTAAGTGGTGATAGTTATCATATACAGTCTGAATTCCTGCCCTTGTACAGTGGTGGATGATGACGATAATTTCTGGATTTGTATCTGTCTTTATTCTTTTCTGTGCTCAGTTGTAATAATTTTATTTACAGAAGTGTTTTGGCTTTTTTTTTACTTGTCTCAGTAGTTTATAGTGTTCACCATTTATAGTAATTTTACATAGCCTAGACTTCTTTCCGTATATGAATAGGTTGGGATCTTACTTTTTTAATGTAACTGAGCATATTAACTGGGGAAGGTTAGAAGATGCTAGTGTATTTATGTGTGCATGTATATATATATATACATACAAATGTATATATTCATGTATATACCTATATATACTTATATAAATACATAAATATTCTCCCCACAACTTCTTCCCTTCTCAGAAATAGCAGGAGTAATAACATCAATCTCCATAATTATTTTTCATTCTTGGTTGGAGACTCCCTCCGTAGGTAATAGCAGTTGACTTCCTTGAAATGTGGGAAAAGCCGACTAGTGTTTTAGTGTACAGTATGCAGACTAGCACATTCTCAGCCCAGCTTTTCTAAACAAAGTTGGTTCATTTGGAACCATCACACATAACACAGTGCTTCTGACTTACCACTCATTCATTTTTGTTCCAGAATGTATTTTAGATGATTTTCCTTTTTTACTCTGAGCAACATTGAGATGAAATATTAGTTGTTGTTGCATTTATATGATTTTTTTTTCTAGGATAATTTAAAAATTCAAATATCATTGTTTCTGTACATTGATGGATGGCTCTTATAGATTCTCAACTTTTTCTTCACTCTTTATGTTCCCAATATAAAAAAGACCTAGATTTTCAGATCAAGGGCTTGTGCTCTAGGAGTGGTTATGTTGCCTTTTTGCACAAGAGAAGTTGAATTCCTTGAAAACAAACAAAAATCGAAGTAACAGTTAACACCAATAGTAAAACGCCCCATTCTTTGCAATAAATATCAATTGGTATATTTTCAAGACTCAGAGTCAGATTTTGGAAAGAGTCTTACTTATAAATTTAGCTTATTTTTATGTTTAAGACTCTTTGAAAAGTTTGTAATTAATGATAGAAAATAAACTGAATTTCGTTTGTAAGTTAACTTCTTTGGTAGTTTTAGAGAAGTAAAAAATTGGAAAGTTTTTTTGTTTAATAGCTACCTTTCTAGAGAAAAATTAAGCTAATATTAAATGAGTTTAAGTGATAATTAAAATTGAGATGGTGATGATGTTGAGAATGCTATTTTATATATGCCTTTCTCTGAAAGGTTTGATATAGAGCAATATTTATATTAGATCCAGCTATTTTTCTATAGTCTCAAAAATATTTTGAACTGAAAAGTAGTGACATTATAAAAAAGTATGTGTTATGAGAAGACATTTGATTTTAACGGAAGAAATTTTAAGTTAAGGTGAAATTTTGAAATTAAAAAAATAGGCTATGAATAGCTGTTTCATTAAGATTACTACTATTCTAATCCTTTATTTGCTGCCTTTATTCAAAGTTGTGGAATTTGTAAGAAGAACCATGATCAGCATCTTCTTTTATTGTGTGATACCTGTAAACTCCATTACCACCTTGGATGTCTGGACCCTCCTCTTACGAGGATGCCAAGAAAGACCAAGAACAGTTACTGGTAAGTAAAATGAAAGAGATTTTATTTTATTTATTTTTTTAAAGGTTTTTTTTTTTTTTTAAGATTTTATTTATTTATTTGACAGAGATTACAAGTAGGCAGAGGCAGGGGAAGAGAGAGAGAGAGAGAGAGAGAGAGAGAGAGGAGGAAGCAGGCTCCCGGCAGAGCAGAGAGCGGATGCGGGGCTCAATCCCAGGACCCTGGGATCATGACCTGAGCCAAAGGCAGAGGCTTTAACCCACTGAGCCACCCAGGTGCCCCTGAAAGAGATTTTAATATTAGAAATGGTTTGCTCTGTGTTTCAACAGTGTAAGATGATGTTACGTCGTATTGCTTCACAATAAAGTTTTCAGCACACTTTTTAACTGATTTTTTTATAAATATGTTTCCAACTTTAAGTATAATTGACAATTAAAAGCTATATATATTTAAGATATACAGCTTAATGATTTGATATACGTATACATTGTGAAGTAATCACCATAACGAAACTAACTAACATATCCATCACTTCACTTAGTTTCCATTTTCTTTTTTTGTGGTAAGAACACTTTGGTCATAAATATTTATTATAATATATAAATAAATCTGTATCTGTTTTTTTGACAAATGAATATTGAGTTAATTGAAGCTATCGTGGTATCTTAGCAATGGTTAAAGCATGAATTCTGTCTCCTATATTAGTTGTATTTTACTTTATACGAATTTCTGAAATGCTTTATTTTTATTTTGAAATTGAATGAATTTATCAGGAATTTGCCTCCTTACTCATCCTTTTATTGCTGTTTAATATTTTTAAATAGTTTCACTCAAGGCTTTACTTTTAGTGTTTTTCATTTGTGCTAGTTATATTTATGTTCAACCAATCTAGAAACATTTGACATATGTTTTTAATTTTTTTCATTAACTTAGGTATATTACATTACTGCAGATATTTGATAAAAGCTTATGTATGATGAATTTTATCCTTTCCTTAATTTTAGTCCAAGGGAGAGACAAATCAGTTTTAATATGATGATTCTATATAGGAAGAATATAGAACACAGAAAATTTTGGAATAAATCTCAGTATTCTTCTTAGGCAAATTGCCTTTCTACACTTACTTTTATTTTTATTTTTATTTTTTATTTATTTGAGAGAGAGACAGAGATAGTGACAGAGATAGCAAGAGAGAGGATGACCAGGGAGGGGAGGGAGAAGCAGGCTTCCCGCCAATCCCAGGACCCTGCGATCAGGACCTGAGCTGAAGGCAGATGCTTAACCGACTGAGCCACCCAAGTGCCGACCTTTCTACTTTTAGAAAAGAGTAGACCCCAGGTTCTTAAATGCTAATCTATATGAAAAGTTGTGTGTTTGTCAAACACAGTAAGCATGTTTTTTAACCTTATTGTTTTATGTTTTAAAGCATCTCTGTTTATTTTACCGGGAAGCTTACATTCTTTCACCATTTTCACAGGAATGCTTTTTCATAGTGTTCTTTTTTTTTTTTTTTTAAAGATTTTATTTATTTATTTGTCAAAGAGAGAGTGCACAAGCAGGGGGAGTGGCAAGCAAAAAGAAAAGCATGCTCCCCACTAAGCAAGGAGCTGGATGCAGGACTTGATCCCAGGACCCTGGGATCATGACCTGAGCCGAAGGCAGATGCTTAACTGACTGAGCCACCCAGGCATCCCTCATGGTGTTCTTTATTAGTTTGTCTTGAGAGAGTCCTACTAGTCTGCCCTTTTCAAGTACAATGGAGGGCATAAATATATATATACGTTATATCTGTGCTTTTTAAACCAGAATTTATTAAAAAATGCTGTGGCTTATTAGAATGCCAGCAGTGTTAATAAGTATCCTAGGTGGGTGGTTTTTTTGCCTTTTTAAAAAAGATTTATTTATTTATTTGAGAGAGAGAGCGAGTGAGCAAGTGCGCTTGTGCACACGGCAGGGGAAAAGGGTAGAGGGAGAGGGAGAGAAGGTCTTTGAGAAGACCCCACTGAGCATGGAGCCTGATGTGGGGCTTGATCCCATGACCCTGAGATCACAACCTGAGCCAAAACCAAGAGTCAGACTCCCAGCAAACTGTGCCAACCAGGTGCCCTATAAGTGGATGTTTATAAATTGAAAGCCTGTTTGGTAATCTCCAGGGCTAGTGTGCTAGTCATGATCTTTGACATGGAGATGTGCAGTTATGAACTTTTCTAATACTACTCTGCCTGCAGAGCTCTGGTTTCCAGTAAATTTCTGGAAGAATTTCACATAAACTGCCTTGCCTGGAATGTTTTAGGGAAAGGTCTCCCCCAAAGACCTAAAACTATTGAGGGTCCTATGCATTGGTTACAGTGTTTTAAAATAAAAGAAGCTAATACCATGGCAAAGTGAAGTCTTCAATATCTTCTAGTTTTTAATAATCAAATTTATTTTGGCCTCTGAAGTCAACTTAGTTTTGCTTAACACTTAATTGAGTGTATTAGTTTTAGAGTAAGTGTCATGGAATTATATTTTTCTTTAGTGTATCTCAGTTGTGAGAGGCACTTTTTGCTTTTTAACATTTTTAGTTTAATTTTGAAGTTATATTAAAGATAATAAGTATTAAAGCAATTTCACTTCCCAAATATTTTATTATTACCTTTACTCTTTTCCTAAGTCTATTATATATGTATGGTAGAAAAACTGTCTAATAGTATGCTACTATACATTTTTTACCCATTCTGCATTCTCTGATGCCATATTGGTATTTTGAAATTGACCGTGCTTAGTAGTATGCATGATACAGAAATTAGCAAATGCTAGAAATAATGACTTTTTCCCATAGAGAATTAGGTATTAGATATTTACTAGCACACTACTGCCTAACCTCTGCCTAGATTCCATTTAGTTCTTCTTAGTCTTTTTCTTAGGAAAAGAGGTCCTAGAAAGGTCCTTTTGTCTTAGGGAAAGGGTTCCTGTAACCTTATCTCATGACTGGGCTCATTATTGGCTTAAATTTATACAGAGCCTACTGGTACACATTTTTGAATGTCACCAATTACTCCTTTTCTTGTCTTTATGCTATGTGTATTTGGTAACACCCTTTCTACTATATACCCCTTATGTTCACTGCTAGCCAAAATTACTATGCAGTCTTCCCTTCTCAAATAGCACGTTCTGCTTGGTAGACTGTTCTAAGCACCTCCTGTCCAGTTTTTTTTTTTTTTTTCTTCTAGTACCAGTACTACTTTTGGGAGTTACTAGTTTGAGATCTGGATGCTTTCCGTTTGGTCCATACCACAATAGTTCACTGCTTATCTTGGACTAATTTAAGACATGTGACAGGAAAGAATAAAGATACAGAGGTAATTATTGATGGAAAGTAGGAAAGTTGAATAAGCTCACATTAGACAGGCTCTGACTTTTCAGTGAAATAGAAGCAGTCTGTGGAAAGGGAAAGGAATTGGGATGATGATGGTGGCTTAAGAAGATAGGAGATAGTTTCCGATAGTTACTATGGAAAAAAAAAATCACAGATGACTTCCTGAGGTTCTATACTAAGAATGTTTGTGAATTGGTTTAATAAGTGTGATTAATTGATCTTTCTCCAATAATGCATAGCTGTCTAGGAGCAGGAGAGGGAAAAACCCAGGGACTTCTTATGTTGGGTTAGGAGTGGGCAAATCAGATGAGAATGCTAGTTGGGTGAGGAATTTGGCAAGGGATAAAGAGGCTAATGAAGGTATGATCTAGGCTCCATTTTGTTTTTACTTACTCCCATTGTTTGAAATTTATTTTGTCTTACTCTTAGTTTATATTATTTTGGTTTGTTCCTTTTTAAATATATAATGTTGCACACTGCCTTATATTCTTCCCAGATAAGCCTGATAGGTATATAAATGAAGTAGTAAGGGTTTGATTTATTAGAGTAGCTCAAATAATAAATATTTCTTTTTTTTTTTTTTAAGATTTTATTTATTTGACAGACAGAGATCACAAGTAGGCAAAAGCAGGCGGGGGGTGGGGGGAAACAGGCTCCCTGCTGAACAGAGAGCCCAATGCAGGGCTCAAATGCAGGACCCTGAGATCATGACCTGAGCCAAAGGCAGAGGCTTAACCCACTGAGTGCCCTATAAATACTTCTTTTAGAATAATCTTTTGTTTCTATCACCGTCTGATCAGAATTTTTCTTGCCTTTTCTAATTAAAGAATATTGTGGAAAAAAAAACAACCCTGAATATTCTGGAGAGTATTATTTGACAGATAATTGAGTAATATTTATTATATCCTTTTATTCTTTGGGTATACCTTTGTTTATTCTTTTTTTTTTTTTTTAAAGATTTTTATTTATTTATTTGACAGAGAGAGATCACAAGTAGACAGTGAGGCAGGCAGAGAGAGAGAGAGGGAAGCAGGCTCCCCGCTGAGCAGAGAGCCCGACGCGGGACTCGATCCCAGGACCCTGAGATCATGACCCGAGCCGAAGGCAGCGGCTTAACCCACTGAGCCACCCAGGCGCCCCCCTTTGTTTATTCTTTTAAGAGAAAAGAAAATCTATAGCACAGAACTTTCAGTTAATAATTTATAGGTTTCTCCCCCATTTTTCTTAATAATTTATCCTTCCCTTCTTCCATTAACTCTTTCTTTTTATCAAGAGATAATTGACATATAACCTTGTATTAATTTTAGGTGTACAGCATAATGATTTGATGTATATATTGTGAAATGATTACCACAGTAAGTTTAGTTAACATCCATTGTAATACATAGTTAAATGTTTGTTGTTTTTTTTCCCCCTAATGATAAGAACTCTTAAGATGTATTCTCTTAGGGGCACCCGGGTGGCTCAGTTGGTTAAACAGTTAAGTGGCTGGCCAACTCTTGATTTCAGCTCAGATCATGATCTCTGGGTCCTGGGATGGAGCCTCGTGTAGGGCTCCACACTTGGGGTAGAGTCTGCTTGCTTGTGCCTCTCCCTCACCTCTCCTAACACAACTCATGTGCATGTGCTTGTGTGCGCTCTCTCAGTTAAAGAAATAAAATCT